AGGGGTGAAGATAAGCCTTAAACCATACAGAATCCCAGAAGCACAGAAAGAGGCTGTAACTGCTGAAATTAAGAAAATGTTAGATCTTGATATTATTGAGGAATCCCAAAGCGAGTGGAACAGCCCTATAGTACTGGTGCCAAAACCTGATGGCTCGATAAGATTTTGTAATGATTTTCGTAAATTAAATAGTGTGTCAAAGTTTGATGCTTATCCAATGCCTAGGGTCGATGAACTGATAGAGAGACTGGGTAAGGCTCGGTACCTGACTACTTTAGACCTGACGAAGGGTTATTGGCAAGTACCTCTTACAGACAGAGCAAAAGAAAAGACAGCTTTTTCTACATCAGGGGGATTATTCCAATACAAGGTGCTACCATTCGGGTTACATGGGGCCCCTGCCACTTTTCAGAGACTGATTGATAGGATTTTGAAGCCTCACAGCCGTTATGCGGCCGCATACTTAGATGACATAGTCATTCACAGTCCTGACTGGGCTTCACATCTTCCCAAAGTGCAGGCAGTACTGGACTCTATCCGCTTAGCTGGTTTAACTGCTAACCCATCTAAGTGTACTATAGGTTTGGAAGAGGCAAAATATCTGGGTTATTCGATTGGGAGAGGACTAGTTAAGCCCCAAACAGCAAAAGTGGAGGCCATACAAAACTGGCCACGCCCCCTCACTAAAAAGCAAGTTAGGACTTTCTTGGGACTTATTGGGTATTACAGGCGATTTATTCCTGGTTTTGCTACATTAGCAGCTCCTTTAACGGATCTCACAAAAGGTAAAGCCCCACTAGTGGTTAAGTGGTCAGTAGAGGCAGAAAAATCGTTTGTAACTTTGAAAGAGGCTTTGTGCACCCAACCGGTTCTGGTAACCCCGGATTTCACTAAAGAGTTTATTGTCCAAACCGATGCATCAGAGCTTGGGTTAGGGGCAGTTCTGTCTCAGGAAATTCAGGGTGAAGAACACCCAGTGTTTTATTTAAGTAGGAAGCTGACTCCCGCTGAGAAAAATTATTCTATAGTGGAAAAGGAATGCCTTGCCATAAAATGGGCCTTAGACTCATTGAAATATTATCTGCTGGGTAGAAAATTTAGGTTGGTCACAGACCATGCCCCCTTAACCTGGATGAGTCAAAACAAAGATAATAATGCCAGGGTGACAAGGTGGTTCCTCAGCTTACAACCATTTCATTTTACGGTTGAACATAGGCCAGGGTCTAAACATGGAAATGCTGACAGTTTGTCGCGAGAAAATTTGTTTTCTGTGGTCGCTCACCCCACTAGGTCTGAGCTGGGGGGGAGGATATGTAACAGAGTGTTGGGGATGGTGGTCAGGGGTGTATATCTGGCACCCAGACTTTTGCACAGCCACTATCCTGACATGTGGGTAAGCACATGCAGCCCCAGGGAAAGTTAAGTTTAAATGTAGTTTTTTTTCCTCTGTTGTTATTTGGGTCCCTGGGGTGGAGTATTCGGAAGAGCAGGGTGGGCCGATTCTCCACCCACTGTCAGAGTGGTTGTGCATGAGTCCAGCCCAGGTTTCCCATAGAGTTCTGGCTCACTGCCTAACGAGGTCATTAGCCTCACCTGTAGGGGCTGTGAGCAGCTATATAACTGCAGTTAAAGCAGGGTGAAGTGAGGGAAGTGTTTTGGAGGAGAAAGAAGATTTGCTGTTCATTGTATCCTGTTACTTCACAACAACAGAAAATAAACAGGCCAGAGGCCCTTTTGAAACTGGACTTTGTCTTGGCCTGGTTTTCTTACCCTAGAGGGCTGTGCGGTTGCCAAAAGATCCTGGACAAACACACACAGGAAAGTAAGTTTGTCACAGGTTATAAAAACTCCATACTTGCAGGTGGAGCAAGATTAATATATATTAATGATAAATTTGTCATGTTAGCATGCAGCATTTATCCAGATGTATTGATTTGCTCTGAAATAAGATAGCGCATCTTATGTAGGGAAATGAAAATTCGGCTAATGTAAAATATGGTAGATTATTCTTATTGGATGGTTCCAGGAATGGTTATTGATCTGGTATGAACATTGCTTTGAAAATTGCAACAGAATAGGATATATGTCTAGGAGGATTCTAGCCAGCATTGAAAGGGTTACTCAGTGTTATTCAACTGTTAACCAAGGTTTATTGCTTTTCGCTGTGCTGTGAGCTTTCTGTGTTTGTGAAGCACCCTATCATAAATCTGTTAAGTCTTGACAGTTGGGCTGTAGCCGCTATATTGTGTTTAAACCATTGCCATTTTGTATACCATGTTATACTAAATAGTAACTGATATTATCACGCATGTTACATAATATTTATTATTGTCTCAATACAATTTTATAAAGAAATTGTGGCTTTACTGTGTGCAGTTAAGTCCTCTGAAGAACGGCCTCTAGGATCTAAGAATTAAATATAGTGGGTAATTCACAGCTTTCTATTATCATTCGGGGACAGTGCCATTATCTTTGATATAATAAAAATTTTTTTTTTTTTTTTTATATAATTCTTTATTTTTGTTGTGCGTAAGCTTATAACAATCGCTCTGAAGGTACCCCAAAGGCAATCCTCCGGCGGATTAAAACAGTCAAACATAGAGGTACATAATAAAACAAGCACATTTTTTAAAGTTATACACAATCTAGTTTTACGTTACGTAGGTATTGTTAGGATATGACAGAAGTTCGTTAGAAAGTTGACGATCAAATTTAATAACTTGCTAATGTTTCTTCAGGCTTGGACATTTCTATAGTGAGTTAAAAGTTAAACTGGCTTAAACATGTGTAGTTGTAGTTTCGCTATCATAAGTAATATAAAAAGTGTTTCAGTCGTTTTCACAAGCATCACAGCGGATTATATCTCAGTAGGACAAACGGAGGGTGTGTTTACTCTACTCTGTTCTTTATAAGCACTGTTTGGTTACACATATGTACATAGTAGTATTTTAGGCATTCTCGCTAACATTACATCAAATGATCTCTCAGTAAAACAAATAAAGATCCCCTACTCTGAGCTGTGCGTTATAAACACTGTCCTTTGTTACATATAAATCGCTTACTTAGCTCCGACAGGTGAGAGGCTTGCGTTGCCCTATCTAGTAACTGCACATCTAAACAACAAAAAGCAGCAGGAGGAGAGAGTGTGCAAGAAAAGGCCGCCGAAAATATACAGGACTAGGTAGTGAAACCGAAAAATAATAGTGAAAAAAGCAAAATAATGTTCCGAGGCACAAATTACTGGCACATATATAGCATAGCTCCAGGTGAGTGTTGAGGCTCTCTGCCGATGGCGTCAGCCGATTCCTCTACTGGGCAGGGAAGCGCTTGGTGTCTGAAGTGTCTGTACGGCTTCTGCAAGTCCGGCTCCCCCAGCGGCTCGGTGTGGCGTGTCTGTTGCCCTTGCCGCAGCGTGCCACTCTGTTTCAGCCCTGGGTCGCCACGTGGGAGCTTGGTGCTCTGTGGTGTTGTGTTTTGGCGTGTTGCTGGGGCCTTGGGGGTACCCGTCCCTCACCTTACCCTGTTTGTGGAGGTGGGTGAGTGTGCCCGGGCCGGAGAGGTTCGCTTCTTGCCCTGTCGTGCGTCGATGCCTGTGTGGCCAGGCTGCCTCCCTGAAGGTCCGCAGTGGGTCTCCATATCAGCATCGGCGGGTCTCCAGACGAACCCACGAGGCTACCACCCGTGCTGCATGAGGGTAGGGCACTCCCCTGTCACCCAGTATCCTGCAGAAAGCCAAGCAGAGCCGGTCTAGGGCTACCAGAGGATGAGGGTGCTCCTGGGTGATTTAGTTTGCTTTCTTTAGTTGTCGGTGGGTGGCCATCTTGGGCACACTCTGTCTGGCTCGTGCCTTCGCTGCTGTCAACGTTGTCTCCCTTGCCTTCTGCGTTAGCCTGCTTGTCTTGTGGGGACCGGGATATCCCCCACCGGTCCAGGGGGGAGGGGGTAGGAGTTCAGTCGTGCTTTCTGGGGTATTTGTGTTGCGGTCTATGTGCCCCTACAGGATCCAAAAGGGTATCCCCCGATTCTTTGGGGCTCCCCCAACGTGGGTAGAGCACCCTAGTACGTCTTTGGGCTACCCAGCTGCTGATATCGCCTTATTTTCTCATAAAAATTTAATTTGATAATCTTTATGAAAATATTTTAATATTTATCACCCCATAAATATCCCCATAATATTTACCCACAGAATAATTAATCCCTTAAGGACGGAGCCAAATGTACACGTTGTGAACAAAACAAAATGTAAACAAAACATGGCATATGCGATACATGTCTGTCCAACCGTAATTCACATTTCATATTAAATGCACGCACATTTATTATATATCATTTTGGTTGGGAAAAAAACAGGGCTTTCATGTCACATCAAATATTTGTGTATTAAACATAATATGAATAAAATATATAAAAAATTTAGAAATTAAGACATGTTGTTTAGTTTTGCATGGTATTTTAACTGGGAATGTCACAATACTGTTAGCTGTTACTGCAAGAAACAATTTTTTTCTCATGTTTGAGAGATGGAAGGGGCAGGATTTGGCGATTGATTGGTTTGTCAGAATCTTTTTTCCTTTACCAAAATGCTGATGCGCTGGACTACCCTATTGTCAGTCCATATTTTCAGAATACATACATAAATAAAATAGTGCGTCCAAAATAAAATGTTTCCATGGTACGCAAGTCTATTTTAAAGAAATTTAAAAAAAACAAAACAAAACAAACACACAGACACCTTTTTAGAATAATTGGTTTACAGATCAATAATATAAAAAGATTCATATAAATACAATTGAACATGATAAGGCTTTTTTTTTTTAAGTTGTGTTTTCAAATCAGGCACAATAATGCATAATTTAATTTTTAAAGCGTCCAACAATTTTCTTCTGCTGTATGTAATTGAAATATAATATGTAAATTGTGAATTAAATATATAATCTTCATGCCCCCCCAAGGTACAGTAAAATAAAAAAATTGAAGAGGAAAGAGGTCCAGCTCCCAGTTCAGTTTCCATAGTCTTTAGTCTCATTGCCAGTCTCGTTTAGAATGGTTGTCCTTACAATTGCCTCAGTAACCGCGTATGGGTCACAGTTGGCAGACGGCCGTCGATCTTCAAAGTACCCTTTGCCCTCCTGCTCATCTTGGTGAGGAATACGAATGCCAACAGAGCAGTTGTTAATGCCAGTGGTAAATTCATGGAAGCTTGAGGTTGCAAATTCACCAGTCAGACGACGGACATTATCCTTGCCACCATGGGGGTCGTAGACAGAGATATGGTAATTGTGCCTCTTCCCCAATTTTTCAGTTGCATCTTCAATATCGCTGTAGGAAAAGTAGATTGAGCTTTTCATAAATGGTTGGTTTACATTTTTTCCAGAAAAGCATGACGAACGTACTGTATGCTTAAACAAATCAGTTATCACAAATCAATGTGCCATCTACATGTATTTTACTTGGTCTATAAAATTTCTCATTGCCGAACAGGGAAAACAGGAATTATGTGGCAAATTTTTAAAGTGGAGCAATGAGAATTAAAACCAGTATAATTTTCCTGCCAAGACTCACAAGTGCTAGTTGTGCACAAACCGTAAAAGTTCTCTTTATTCTGAAGACACATTTCAGTTACAACTCACTTTAATCCACCTTTCTTCCTCATGTTTTCTGTGCTGTAGTTGGTGTGACAGCCAGAAGCATATTTGTAATCGGGCATCGGTTTTGGGTCAAGAGTGGCCTTGATACCAAAGTCTTCACAGACACGGTGAAGTATAAACCGAGCCATCCATAGATGATCTCCTATTTCGATACCTTCACATGGGCCAACCTGGAATTCCCACTAAGAAACCAAAGTAAAAACAAATGGATTAGGTCAATTTGGTTGTATGAATGAGTTCACAGTGACAATGTCCAGCTATTAGATCCGTACCACTGCATTCTTAGATGCTTGGTAGAAGCTGCCCATATTGGAGGCATCAGGGTGCTCAGATGCATCAAGTTTTCATACTTATTTTGAAAGCTTAATATAGACAGAAGTAGCTAATAGAGAGTTAGGAAAACAAATCGATAACTAACCAGTGACAGCAACAGGTAATACACAACAGGACAATGTTGTACCTGTGATGGCATAGCTTCTCCATTGATGCCACAGATTTCAATACCAGCATAAAGACAAGCCTTGTAGTGACTTTCTACAATATCACGTCCAAATACCTTTTCTATCCCAACACAACAGGATGCGAGACCTGTTGCATAGTCATCTGTGAAAAAAAAATAAAAAAAAATAAATAAAAAATCTAGGGGTTAGGTTTAGGCAAGTCAGTCAACATAATCTCTTTTTTGAAGGAGTGGAGACTGGGTGAGCATCTAACGTAGGAGGGAAGTGAATTCCACAGGAACGGTGCAGTCCTGGAGAAGTCTTGAAAATTGCGATGGTTAAAATTAATTATTTCACTCTACTAAATCACCTTTACACTCAAACCATACATCAAATTCATTGCAGATGATTATAAAGAAGCACTTTTTATAAATGCAAAAAAAAAAAAGTAACAAATACAAATGGGCAGAGTAACAGTGTTTTTTGACGGGGGAGCCATGTTCAACTTCTTTACCTTTTGTCTGGAAGCTCTTTGGTCTGTTTGGTTTAATTTCTATATGTGTTGTACTTTCTATAATCAGTTCTACCATTTTTTGAACAATTATGAAGCTTACCTGTACCAGGGTAACCAATCAACATGCATCACTCTACTATTCATTACAAAGTCAGGCCAGGAAATTTCCATCAAGAGTTTTATTTTGGAGGTTAATCCTTTTTCTTCTAGGGCAACTACAAAACTGGCTTCTCTGTAATTTACATAAAGACATGCAATGCTTTTATATAAAAATGTATTACCTTCTAGTCCTGGGATAAGATTATTGGGCCAACCATAAGGGCGACCATCGATTCCAAGTAAGATGTATTCTTGTTCCATCCCAAACCAAGGTCGATGATCCTTCACCAAGTCCATTATTTTTTTGCAAGTCTGACGCAGGTTAGTTTCTGCAGGTGTAAAAAGAAAGTAAATCCACAAGGCTGAGTATTCAGTGAATATATATAGTAAATGATAAACCAAAGAGCATAGTTTAGGTCTATAAAGACAAGTTGCAACTATAGCTGGGTTTTTCCAAATCAGCTTTTTCTGAATTTTGCCATTAGTTTTCAGATACATCACAATTCAGTTTTTAGTTCGTTTGACAGAGGCATTTATCAATAGTGCCAAGTATTACACAGTATTCCTCACCAAGTTGAGCAGGAGGGAAAAAGGTAATTCGAAGATCTCCAGCAATCTCCAGCAATTTGCCGTTACTGAGGCTACTGTCATGACAACCATTATCAAAAAACAAAACAAAAAAACACGCAAGACTAAAGTATATGGAAACTGAATGTAATTTAATGCTGCTAGCCAATCCCTTAAAGGGAAACTATAGTACCGGCGGGGGAGACCTAATGCACATGCACGGCAATGGCCACACTCACATTAGGAAGCAAATGCACAGAGTGAGGATGTCCAGCGCCAGTTAGACTGTCTGGTAGACAGGGCTAAGGGTGCTGGAACAGTGCATCCAGACCACTTTAATGAGCTGAAGTAGTCTGGGTGCCTATAGTGTCCCTTTAACGTTGTTATATTTGGATTTTTGCATCTGTATAAAGAAAAGTTGGTGAATAAAGAAATCTGTTTATCTGTATAAAGAAAAGTTGGTGAAAATGACAGAATTCTGACCCGAATTACAATTTTAAAATGTATTAAAAGCAAAATCTGGTCAGAATTCTATCTTCCTGACCAAATCTGCACCATTCGGGTATATATATATATTTTAAGTCTAGTTTAAAGTCTGTTCAATTGTGGGTCAAAGCACTCTGACTGAGAACTCAATTCCACGTCTTGTCTCTCATGAGACTTGCCTGTTATTATGAATGGCATTTGCCCCTTCTATTTATTTTATTCAGCACCCACCTGTCAGTCACATATGGGTGAATCAATGCCATGCCTCCCACCACCCCATCAAAGTTTACTGCATTAGCTGTCCATTCCTTAGTTTAGTTAAAGTGAACAGCCACCGACTGCTCAATTTAGTAGACATGACAAAAAAAAAAAAAAAAGTGAAAATGTGTTTTTTTTTGTAAAATTCTTACCTGCAGGTGTTCTGTTACTTGTCAGAGCTTCACACAAGACCAGCTTATTGGGGTCTAGACTGAAAGGGTCCCTGAACATTTTGACCGGGACGAGATACATGCCACAGTTATCACTTTCTGCTTGGCCTGTGCCAGTCCCATTGAAGGTCCACTCTGGGATCTCTGATATAGGAAAAAAACATGAAGATAACTGGACAAAGCCATATATTTTACAACTACAAAACTTTTAAACACAACAAAACAGAAATGGGATTTCTTGATAGAGCTGTACCCTAAAAGAAGTGGGGGCATCATAATACAAGGGTTAAAACTGCTACAAATGGAAGGAGTATGGTCACAATGTATTATTTTCCTACTTCTATTTATTTAGAAGAGATGAAAGAGAAGATTAAAAGTTGTAGATAACCCATTGCAGTTTAATACAAAAATCAGTATAAACTTAAAAATGGGAAATTGCACCCAAAAATAGATAAAATATAAAAATCAATTGATGGTGTTTTCTGAGGTCCTGAACAGTCAGGAACTGGCCATTGGGCATAAAAACACATACCCGAGCCAATGCAATCTTGGAAGATCAATGACTTTCCTAGTAGACAATCTATCCCTTCATGGGTCAGTGGGGAGATCTAAGTATTGCCCTAACCAGCTCAGCATATCCTAACTTTTTCTGCTTATGTTTATTCATTTGTGGTTTTTTAATTCACAATTTACACCTGTCTGGTGAAGTACTACAAGGACACTTGTATCCAGTTCACAGCATCTGTGATCTTACGGATGGGCTTTTTAACTACACACATCTTGTAAGTGTATCTAATAAAGCAGTGTATTTTATATTTAAAAGTGCTGCACCATGGATTTTATTATTTATTTTTGCATGCATCTCTGCATGTCCGGAGGATCACTTTGAATGGATTTTATCACCTACATTTTGATGGGCTCTATATACAACTTATACTTGTGAGTTTAACCTTGAAGCATTAGCACTTTGTGTTTTTACAGTATCACACTATTTCCGTGCCTTTTGTATAACCTTTGTAGATACTTTGCGGTATGAACCACCACTTCCTGGCCTTGACCCACTTGTATCCCCCTATGGGGACACCAGAGACTAGTCACCAGCAAACACAGGGCAAATAGGTCATTAACTTAACTTGCAGTGAATAAAACTCAAGTAACAACTATTCATCTGGGATATGCACATGGGCTGCCGTGGAGGGTCATCAAAATAACATAGGTGAGCATCATGGGAAATAAGATCTTCACTTCCAGAGTTAAGCTTTTATAGAACTTTCTAAACATCGTACAGAGAATGCACCTGAATTTGGTGATGTTGAACAGTTTGGTTTGAGCCCATTACTAAAGGTTCAAAGCCAGGTCATACAAAATCTTCTTCCCTCCTCTTCTGTGGTTCTGATGACACACATTGAGCATCCAATCTCTATAAATAGCAATGTTCACAAGAAACACTTCCCCACCCCATCATGACTATAATTATGTGTTCCATCTTATTGAATCTCCAACTGTGACCCATTTGCTGTACTACATTCTGGCCTTACTCCGCACCAATATTTGCTAGTGCTTGCTTGTTTTCTATTCCTGCTTGTACAGATAAGTGTCTTTCGGTTTATGATATCAGCCACCTGCTCTGACCCTCAGCCTGCTTGTTCAATAATCCACCTACTTCATTGGGTCACCTCACTTCATACTATTTACACTTGATTCTGTGTACCATTGAAAACCAAGAGAATCAAAACACAACATCTCAACTTCAAGAGGATCCAGCAAAGGTTACATTTTAGAAAGAAGTGATACTTTCTCATCTGATAATTCACAAAGGGGCTGCCAGAAACATGACAGATGGGATGGAATGTCATGTGGGTTTTAAAAGTTTCTTTTCTCACCTTCTATGGACTGGGGCTCATAGTCCAATGTCTTGGTTTTGCAGCAGACTCCTTCCCCAGTTTTATCGATCCAGACGTAGGTGACCTGCACCTTACCTCCTTGGGAAAGCTTCATGTACTTTTCCCTCATCCCTTTGATGAGATAAGAACCAAGAAACACAGCAGCGTTGGTGGAGACTGACCTTATTTGGAAGGAATAAAAAAAATTTTTTAAAAAATATAGGTTTCAGTAGGATTCAGATGTGAAAGCACCAAGTTTAAAATCAACACTAGAGGCATCTTGGAAAATGGTGCAGATTTGGTCATGATGACAGAAATCTGACAGAACTGGCTTTAGTAAATGTGCAAATTGCCAATCTGGTCAGAATTTGACCATTTTTAGAAGTATTCCAATACAGAGAAAAATTGGTGTTTACTAAACAGACCTGTTACTGTATTGCCTAATGATATACTCTGAATTTATAATAGTCAATAGTCTCTATTATCCTTGTAATGGTGCATGTAAACCAAATTTCACTGTTCTTCTACACACCGTTTTGGTTTCAGATGAAAAAGATAAAAAAAAAAAAAAAAAGAAAACACCCCACACACAAGGAACATGCAAACAATTTTAAATCCTATTTAAAAGTTGAAAATATAAAGAGGGGAAGGAAGAGACAGGAGTCAATTGTAGACAAGCACCAAGAGGGAGTTTGAGAAAAATTCCAAGGAAAAATTAAAAAAGAACTTTCAGTGTTCTAAAAATACAAAAATGTAAAAATAAAAGAGATTATATATATTGTGATCTTTGTCTGCAGGTAGCACGGTCCTCTAGGGTAAACAACAGGCACAGTCCTTTGGTTTGCATATAATCCAGGCAGTTTTATTGTCAAACTCCACCACAGCTACAGCAGCAAATGAAAACAAAATGTAACAAAATCCTATAAACAAAAACCTAGCTCGGTCTGAGCTCTAACTGACACCAAGTTCCCTCTCTCTCAAGGGTTTAATCTAGAACAAAAACAAGAAGTGATTTCACCAACCTAGTGTCTTTTTCAGCTCTCAGCACTCCAGTGTTTTGGACAGCTTGCTGCTTCCAGCACTTCAGGAGAGAAATAAATATTCTCCCCTTACCTGCCTAGCAGGGAGGGGTTTATTCCCACTGCTGCAGTGGATTACCTGCAGCTGAGCAGTGGGTTGGAGACAGTCCAAAAACCCCGGCCTGGACCTAGTCTCCTAAGAGAAAACAGTAAATAGTGGAGTGGAGCACTGGCCCACCCTTCTCTCCAAATGCTCCACCCCAGGGGCCCATAACTAAATATGCATTCAAGTCATATACATGCATACACACATTCCCCCTGGGGTTAAAGATCATATGCCTCTCTAAACAATGTAGATGAAATATAAACTCCCTCACAGACCACCCCATTCACCTTATCACAATATATACACACACACACACACAATGAAAATTCCTTGCACTCACGCTTAAAATATTCCAATGCCGGGTGCACTAAAGCATAAATAATCCAAAAGTCCAAACATAAACAACCAACTGTGCGGCTGCTCTCCAGTCTTGAAACCTCAATGCTGTTGTATTTTAAACATTCTGAAATAAAGCAGTGAAGTATTAAGACTGGAGAGCAGTTGGTTTTATATATTATTTATAAGGGCACCAGAGCAGGGAATCCCTCAACTCCTCACTCATCAACCAATTCATTCTACAACCGAGTCAGAAGAACAGAACCCAGTTGGTAAGTGAGGAGTACCTGTACTTCAAATAACTGAGTTGCGAGAGAACCCTTCTTTTTTTTATAAATATTTTTAGATTTTTTGAAAAGTATATAAAGAAGAAAAGACAAACAATCACATGCCATCAGAGTACAATATTAACATTCCAACATCCCTACAGAACCCAGAACTCTTATTAATCAAGTCGGACACTGGTTAGTCTGCTCTAAAATTCAATAATACAAAATCTTTGACAAAAAACAAACAAACAAAAAAAAAACACGATGGACTTTAGTCATTAGGAAAGACAGTAGTAAATGCTAAAGGGGTTCACATTTCAAATCTCAAAAACACATATCATACATACAAAGCTATATTTTGTATCCTGAACCCCTAACGCAAAATCCTGTGGAGGGGGAGAGAGGCAGAGAGATGCGGGAAGGACATCGCAAGATGCTAATAGAGACTGATATAGATCCATTCAGGATATTCTCTCATTTTTATTTTTAAGATATACATATATATTCTTATACTTCTTGGATAAAATTATTCCATTTATTCCATCCATTTGTAATTGAAAAGAAATTGATGTTTTTAATATTATCCACGTTGGAGGCTCCCTCTGCTTTCAGATTTTTACAATCCATTTTTGCTGCCATGAGGATATGAGTAGCTATATAATCATTTTTTTTTTTACAACATTTTAGGCCAGCCAAGATGTAATAAAGCAATTTTGGGAGAGAAAATTATATGAGAGTCTGTGAGAATCTCTAATACATTTTATGTTAATTCCCAAAAAGGTTTTAATTTCTGACAGTTCCACCAAATATGCGTATAGGAACCTTCTACTTGGTAAGAATATGTGGGGAACATATTACTGATTTTCTTTGGGACCCAATGTCATTTAGTTAATATCTTATACTGTAACTCTATGAGATTAAAGCATCGTATACATTTCTTTACTTTTGGTATGATCTCATACCAGTCCAAGATTTGAACCTCTATTTCAAGATCACTTTTCCAATTATTTATAATACTAATAACTGGGTCTATTATAGATGGATCATCCTTATCAAAAATTGTAATTTTCATCAAAGTTCTAACATTACCTCCATATTTCATTATACACTCCAATCCTTTAATTTCGTTATCTTTTTTGCATATAAAATTACTCAGCTTTTAATTAATTAAGATAGCAAAAAAAAACTTCCTTTGAAGGAAGATGGAATTCCAGAGCTAGTTCATGGAAAGATTTCATATGAGGACCATTTAAGATATCTGTTAAAACATTTATACCATTCTTTTTCCATGTAGATAAATTAATTTCTTATGTATTATATTGTAGAAGGCTTATACTACTCTTAGATCTTATACTGTTATCCCGAGATAAATTATGTTCTGTCTTAAATCTGGACCAAAACTTTATAATTTGATAAGTAAAATAGTGTTTCCCACCTTTGTTGCCAGAGATCCTATCCATGCCCAATTTTGGGGGGTCAATCCACAGTAATAGGGAAATATCCGATATTTCCAGCATTAATTTTTCAATATCATACCAAGAATCTTTAGATTCTGTTTTATACCATTTAAAAATATGTTTAAGGATAGCAGCGTGATGATATTTTTTTAATATCAGGAATTGCTAGTCCACCCATATCTATGCTTTTCTCAAGTATCTTTTTTTTTTATTCTTGGCTTTTTCCCTTTAGATATATATTCAGAAAATGTTCTCTGTATTTTAAGTAAATTCGATCTATGTAAACATGTGGGTATCACCCCATAGAGATAGTTCCAGATCGGAAGGACATAAGATTTTATGACGTTAATTCGTCCCAGCCATGAAAGTTCCAAAGGCTTCCAATCATTGAGTGTCCCATATTCATCCGCTTATAAAAATGTAGTTAATGGCATTTACTGTCCACACAGGAAAAGTTGTGCCGAGCAGCAACCAAATCCACAGATTTTATGCAAATGGGAACCTGGTAACTGCCTTTGGGGTCAAAGACCAGTTACAGCCTATCAGAACTAAAGGAGGGGTATTTAGGCCCAGTTCTCATCCTGCTCAGTGCCCTGTCGTGGTTTTCCTTGTGGTTGTCCGAGAGCGCGTTTCTGATTCAAGTTTCTTCTGGTTTTTGACTCTGGCTTTGATTTTGACTTCCCTGTATTCTGGTATCCCTGACTTCTGGCTTTCTCTTATCGTTGTGTCTCTTTCTGTATCCCCTGACCTCGGCAAGTATCCTGACTATTCTTTGGTACGTTAAGTCCGGCCATTCTAAGGCCCGGTAATACGTTACCTATTAGTCATCTGTGTGACATAATGCTACGTGCTGGATCAACTAGTAATCCTGACATTGAGCAAACTGGTAGTCTGATTCAAAAATGTCTCCCTATTAGCCTTAATTAAATTCTTTGCCTCGGAAGTAAGAATTATACCAAAATACTCAGTACTGTCTGTTTCCCATTTAAAGGTGAATTCTCTCTTCAGTGTATCTATAGTGTCCTTATCTAAATTCCAGCTCATAATAGTTGATGCATTAAGCTTATGATTTGACATATTGCCAAATATTTTTAATTCTTTAAGGAGACAGTTTATAGAAGTTTCAGGATCTGTTAATGTCAGTATGACATCGTTAAACCGAATTCCCTTAATGTTTTCATGCATTCTAATATATTGAGAAAGGGGCTCCAGAGTAAGGATATAAAGCATAGGGGAGAGAGGGCAAACCTGCCTAGTTCCATTTCGAACCTTAAATCAAGAAGAAGTAATACCCGAGCCTATTATCCTGGCTGAGAGGTTAGTGTAGAGAGCAGATATTAATTAATGTTTGGAACATAAAGATCCAGCTCACTAAGTTGAAAGCATTATTCGCATCAAGCGAAAGTAAGGTAGTCTTGTCAGTCCTTCTATTAATTAAATCAATCAGATCTGCTACTCTATGAATATTGTCAGAGGGATATATACCCATTACAAAACCTGTTTGGTCAGGAAGGATTAGAGATGGAATTATAGATTTCAATCTATCTGCTATAATGGCTGAATATAATTTTCAATCAGGGAGGGATCTTTATTATTTTTTAATATAGGTATTATATTTGCCTGACGTAGTTCAGCTCCAATTTCGCTACTGTCTGAAAAGGAATTCAATAATTTTACAAGATATTATTAAAAAAAATACTTTTAAAATAAAATTCTTTATTTTTGAAGTGCGCACAATTATAACAGTTGCTTATGAGGTACCCCAAAGGCAGTCCTCTAGCACGTTAGGCACAGTTTAAACATAGGGGTAGACAGTAGATCTTGCACACATTTTTTTTTTAGGTTAGGATATAGACAGTAATGATGTATGTTGCTTAGATAGTTTGAAAACATAACATATAATAACATTGCTTTTTGCTTTCTAGGTAGTAAGTTAATATGCTGTGCCAGATGCTAGTCAGATACATACAAGATTATTCTGATTATTATCTGATAAACAAATAGGGTACACATGCTGCCTGAAACACTTTAGTTTAAGATTATACTGCTAGGTCTGGTCTTATAAAGCAAGTGGTCAGGGGACTGGATTAATTACACTGTTAAGAAATACTCGCTGGAACATATTAGCTTATAGGTCCGTCGTTTCGACCGCTGGTACCGCAGATAGTCCACTGGACACACTGTCCTGTTGTGGTAAGTATGCTGAGTATTTTGCAACTTGGTGTCAGGCTGTCCCCTTGTCGTCGATGTGTCACCCGATTCCCTTACTGGGCGCAGCTCGTGGGTTGCCGCCAATGTTATCAGGCCTGGTCTCGCAACAGAAGGTGGTGGACAGCCAGTCCATGGCATTCTCGCTTGGTGTGTGAGTGCCCGGCCCTGGTCGATTTGGGGGACAGCCACAAGAAGGTCCCGTGGGCTTTTCCTTGTGGTTTGGGGATGGTGGCAGAACATTGAGGTTCAGAACCTCGCTGTAGCGGTGGGCAGAACGCCGATCTTTGGCTTGTTTTCTCTGCCAGCAGTGTCGCCTCCGCAGCTTTCGCCTCTGTGGTGTTGGCAGGTTGGTGCGGTGTAACTGTCGGCCCATGGGAGGCCTCTCAGGGTGCTTCCCGCTGCCCGCTCGGTGTGCCTTGTCGCTGCTTGCCCTGCCCAGTCAAGTGGTTTGGGCCCAAAGGCTGTCGGATGTGGTTCCTAGGGCGTCCAGTGTATTGGCCTTAGGGCCTGCTGAGGCAGATTGCGGCAGCGACGAAACTCGTGCTGCGGAGCCTGGTGCGATCGCCATCTTGAACGATTCCTCTGCAAATGTGTCTAATATTTTTGGGCTGCTTTTTGATCCACAAGAAAGTCTGGTGAAAAAAAATTAATACAGACCTCTCCACTTAATACCATGCAGGTGTTGTAGTTTAAAGGCATTAACTAGGTCAGTCTTATCCCTCTGTAATGATTGCATCAATGGCATTATCTATTGTTGTATATTGCAGCGAAAATTCATCTGAGGGAAGCAAGGAGTTAAGACTAGGGACTGTTGCGCTGAGAGGTCTATGATTAGTCTTTACTTAGAAGAGTTTTTCCCAGTAACTATGCCAATTGGGTTGTCCTCCAACTAGAAAATGGAGGTTCATGAAAAGGCCCCAATAAAAACCTTCATCCAGTTCGTCCTGTATCAATAAATTTACTGTCTCAGGATTTTCCAGAGCAGATTGTAAGTTATTGTATTCTATGATTCCTACTGTCATATGAACAGAGCCTGTATGGAAACCTGCTACTAAAAAAATGTAACCAGGTGTTTGGAAGGGTGGGTAGATAGAAGGCTGAGAACCAACATTTTCAGAGGTCAAATAAAGTTAAGAATGTATTTTATTGGGGCACATTGTTTTTGCATATGCTCTGCAGCTGTAAGAACAAACATGCAGTAAGCGGGAAGCAGTATATCTACAAGTACCTTCGTTGAAGTTGTTACATATTTCTGATTTTCCACCATGTACACAATTGGACGTCCATGTTTATCCTTGATTGGTTTGTCATTCATTGCTTTTGTGTTTCTGGTGGCAAGGTTAGGAGAGATTGGACATTGGTTAGTTGAGTGAAGTGGATGTGCAAATTGCACAAGCTGGTGTCCTCAGTCCAGTGAAGTGTCTGGAGAAGAGCTCTGTATCCAGTTGACTCCAATCTGTTCTAACTCTGTATTTATTTCTGAAGTACACCAGCTTGTGCATGCAGAGATCCAGTTCTTCTCTCCTTTGCGGGTAAACTGAACATATGCCATTTCTGTAGAACCTGAATGCTAATGCGAAATCTGGGATAGATCGTTTCTTACTCAGTCTCAGATGCCTGGCCTTCAGTACAGCAGATAAGTCCTCATATGCATAAGTATGATTCAACAACAATATCCTGGAAGGCAAAAGAGAGACTAGGTTTGAGATTTGCCGGCACCATGTGAGCTGGGTTATTAACATGTGAACCCGACCCTGCTGATAAACGATTAGCAGATTGTGTCTGAGTAGGGCCTGGTGGTTCAGTAGCGGGGGCCATGTTGATGGTAAAGCAAGACTACATGATTCTAGTCTTTCATTAATCTTTCCCATAGATGATGATATCATTGCGTGGAGATCAGTGTTTGAGCTACTCGTGCCCTCACACCAGCATCTGAAATATCCGTGTTAGCATGCATGAGCATGAACAGCTCCACTTTCCTAGCTGTTGCTGGGAAAGGAATGTTGCACCTGCATAGTTCAGCTGTTATCACCTCTACGTGCAGGTGTAGTGAACCTGGCTGGAGTGCAGCAATTTGACATGTCATCACCTTCTTCTGGATTCGGAGACATACTGAAAATATAGCAATAATTAGTGTGTATCAACCTGTTTTACTGACTGGCTAGTGGCAAAGCAATTCACTAAGTTGGTGACCGGTGAGGCCCTGCTAGTTTTCAAGTGGCTTGAGAGGCTCTATGCGTTGGTGCGAGGGGATTTCGTGGCCACTGTACATTGTGGCCTTTTGGTGACTTTTAAAGCATAAGACAGATTGGGCTTGACAAGTGTGGCCCTCTCCATGCAACTTTGTGTTGGACCAAGGGGCTTTTACCTCTGCGTGGAGGATTGGTGCTGTCCTCGTGGGACAACCAACATGAAGGCAGAGAAGCCAGAAATGTAACTTCTATTGGCCACCTAGATCAATAAAAGCCAGTAAAACATACTAACCAAGGGTATGTATTGCGGGGAGCCATCGTGGCTAATAACAAACCTGGAGTCATATATATTTCTACTTGTGTAGGTTCTATATAGTATGGTTGTAACCTAATAAAAAAAGGAATGAGACAAGTTGTAGGGAGGATACGAGGATATTTTTTTTTAATATATACTTAACTGTAACTGAAAACTGTGGTTCCCACTAAAGGAGGCTAAAAGGGGTAGGAGAGGCCTATTACCTAATAATGACAAGGACGTGTGTAGCGGATGGTATTAAGGCTGTCCTCAAGAATTTGTGTTGAAAATGTATTCGTGTAATTGTTCTCTGTATATCTGTAAGTGTATGTAGCTTTCGTATGATGGTTCGGTAGTTTTCATACGAATGAAACTACTGAACCATCAGACCACCCCAGTGAGAAGTGTGCGCCTCGTTAAGCATTCACACTCTGTAAACTGCAGCTTAATTGATATATTCTATGTGCCTGTGTGGTTGCCGTTCGGCATACGAACCACGTGCAGCAGCCATCTTACGCAAGAAAATCTCAGCGGTGTTTGGTTGTCGAGTGTCTGGAACTCAAATCGGACACTCAAACACCCGAACAGCGCTGAGACCTCCAGAGCTCCATAACTCCCTAACGGAGGGACTAGTCAGCCCCCCGTTC